AAAACTTCAGGTTCAGCTTTTGCACGTGGCTTAGAACAGAGCTGCTGGTCTTTGAAGCTGCTTCACCTGGCTCCGGCTGCCTCCGAAGGGTACCCCGAAGTGTCACTCCCAAGTGAGTGTTCTGTAGCGGCGTTGTCTGCGTGGGATACCGCGTTTACGTGCTGTGGCAAGCACGCTTGGTGATGCTGTAGCAGGGCAACCAGCCTCCCTGTTAACATCCAGTACAGCATTTATTGTCCTTTTCTGAAGGTTTTGGCTCCCAAGTTATGGTGGGGTGTTGAAGTGCAGTTTGCAGCCAGCTCTGGCCTGATCAGCGCTTTACCCCAGGACCAGATCACTCTCTTGTGGGAGGATCCCTGACCTGCACGTGCAGGTGACCCAAAGGACCTCCTGCTTTGGAAAAGGGGATCTGATGCACTTGTGCTTTCCCGAGCTGGAGCTGGGGTCCCCAGATAAAACCCGGCCTCCCTTGCAGCCCCCGAAGCAGAGTTTACGTAGCTGGCTGCCCAGGCACGAGGGGGTTTCCATCCAAGCCCGTGGTGGGCGGTAAGCCACGGGGAGTGCTGGAGAGCGCGCGTGGGAGGGGGTTGGAAAGCCCCGGCTGTAGAGGGTCTGCTCTTAGCTTCCAAAAACAGCTCAGCCTTCTTGTGGTGGCCCACCTAATTAACAGTTTTGGCATCTGCCCCTTGGGAGGTGAAAAGCTGTAAGTCACGAGCTTTGAAGCTGAGGTGAGTGCTGTGTGTCCTGTCTAAGCTGTGATGAAACCCTTGGTGGGAACGCAGCTTTGGGGGTTGTGGGGCAGCACTTCATGCCCAGGCAGACGTTCCTTGGGCTCCAGGTATCCATCAGGAGCCAAAGCGATGATCAGACACCCTTGGGTAACAGGTAGAGAGGCACCTCCAGCTCTCTGACAACCTGGAGAGATCAGGTTTGAAATCAAGCTGCGCACCACAGCTTGACTTCTCCACTGTGTGAAAAACACCCGTCCCACTTGTGGTTTTTTTGTCTCATCTCCCCTTTTCTGGGTGCCAGTGGTGTTCTCAGCGTCACGTGTTACAGCCCTTCTGCTCGCAGCCCGCACCTCCACACTGCCTGCGAGGCAGAGGAGGTGACCTTGTCCCATCCCACCATCCGCAGCTCGCAGAGCTCAACTGGGATCACCACCACCCTTCTGAACGTCAAGGTCAGGCAGAGCATGGAGAGGCTTCAGCCTCAGGCTGTCCCCTCTGATCCGAGCGATTGAGGTGAAGCTTTTTGTGCTGGTGAAGTACTGGAATGGAGGGAGGTCTCTGCAGGATCTGCTCAGCACGGGCAGTGCTTGCAGTGTGCTTGGAGCACGGCCGTTGTCGCCACAGCATCCCCTGCGGCTAACGCCGTCAGAAATAGCTACTGGAGGCGAATTCGGA